CAGATATTATACTTTGACATTTTTGCTGGTATTTTGATGACATAATATTGCATTTTTTGTGACATTATACAACATACCTCACTATTTCAATCAGGAGTGACTCAATTTTTATAATAAAATATATATATTTATTAACATGTTCACCTAAGAATGAAAAATGTGTAAAATCTTTGGCGATTAGCCCCCATTGAGATGGTATGATTTAGGGAGCATGATGAATCCATCGTCCTATAGGGAACCCCCAAGAGGTCTACACGGTGGTGATGGCAGAGGTGGTGAAGATGAGATGTGAGGAAGATGGAGAAGTGCTGATGATCTGGATGAGTAGAGGAATGAGCCTTTGTTGAGCTTGTCCTGGACTCTGGATACACTGGCTGGAGGTGAACAGGGTGGAAGAAGGCACTACAGTTCTAAATCAATTGACGGGTGACAGCAGCAGAAGAGAGAGCAGATTTAAAATTTTGCAGTAGCATCGTGATTGGCTGATGGAGATCGTGGCAAAGTTTCATTGGATAACTAGAAGAGTGAATACCCATAGTCAGCTGATAAGAGGAAGCAGTGGGGGTGGGATGGAGAGAATTGTGAATGGATGAGCACAAAGAAAGTCTTCCTGATTAAACACACAAAATCCCAAATCAGAAAACTTTAATTCTAAAACCATACACTGTAGATGTATTTGTAAATACAGTCTATGTACAAAACTTGAAACAAATGTCACATCTTGAGCTGAGTTTAGAGAGCACCAAAATCATCTAGCCACTCTCAGGTAAATTAAATGTGATAATCCATACACATTTAAATTAACTGCTGTAAAGCTTTAGTAGTTCAACATTTTGGGAAACATGCTTATTCTCTTTATGTCTGTGTGAGTTTTCATTAGGGCTGGGACAACGCGTTGACGTAATTGATTATGTCGATTACGTAAATAACGCCAAAAATTTGCATCGACGTGTCAGACCAATTCAGAAAATGGCGGCAGCTTGTAGCAGCAGTAGCAGCGCAAGCGATTCCTCAGAGCTTCAACACCCTAAGAAAGTACGAAATCGTTTTTCTAAAGGAATATTTCAGTTTCCACGGAAGGGATTCCGTGGTTTGTAGACTGTGTGAAATGGAGATGGCCTATCATTCCAGCACGACGACTATGACCCACCCAACACCGGAAAAGGAGGCATCCAGGAGCAGCGAGCCTAGATGACAAAACACTAAGATTTCAACTTTCCCCCTTTACCACATAGCTAGGCTACTCGATGTCTTGAATATCATACATCGACACAGTGTTTTTAGTCTAACATTACTAGACTGTCAACATGTTAACCTACATGTAGTACACTTACTAGCGTAACCTGCAGTTTATCAGCAAGTCATCTGTTGCACTGTCAGACAAGCCATGTGTTACGTTACAACTGGTGACTGTGTTAACTGGTGACTTTTTCCTAAAAAGCAGTTTTAATCCTTGTAAAATACACAATAATCTGTGTAATATCTGATCATTTATGTAAATTAAATTGTGTTCAGATGACTTGTTCACCTCTCGTAACATAATTAAATGTGAGAAAGTCCCCAGTTAACACGGTCACCAGTTAAAACAAAACACCATGCGCTGATATTTTCGGACAACATGTAACTATGTCAAATGGTTACTAGTTGTTTTAACATAGCATGTAGTCATTTACTCCAGTTATTAAATTACATGCTCTAGCAACCATTTTAAATTCCAAGTCAACATGCAATGGCTACGTCATGACATGTTAAAACATTGGTGAACGTCATTGATTAGATTAACTTATAGGTCACTGCCATGCCGTGACAGTGCAAGTAAACACAAATACAGGGTTTGATTACCTGCTGGTTTAGACATTGGGAAAAGCCAGCAGAAGCAGGATACATTTAAGAATCTAATTAATTGCAATTCTTTCTGAAATTAAGGGTCAGCATTTTCTTATCATATGTCTGACAAACGTGTCATATCAATATATGCAATCATGTGGACTGTGCATGAACAGACTAAGTTATGTTTCAGATTTTTTATTCTCATTAATCTGCATTCTGTGTGTGTGATTTATCTGTTTTCAGGAATAGGCAGAATAGTGTAGAGGATTACTTCCATAAGAAGAACTCAACTCCCTGCACACCCCAGGAGGCTGCTGTGCTCACGGAGAGTGTCTTATCAGTGATAGTAAAAAACATGAGGCCTCTTGCTGTCGTGGAGGGAGTAGGCTTCCAGGAAATGCTAGCCACATTTCGAACTGGGTACACTCTGCCCTCTAGGCGCCACTTTACCAGTATGATGGAGGAGAAATATGAGACTACAGTGGAGAGACTAAAAAACAAACTAAAAGATTCCACATCCAAAATCACCCTCACCACTGATGCTTGGACGAGTGTGGCCACTGAGGCCTATTTAGGGGTAACCTGTCATTTCATTAATGACAACTGGGAGCTCACTTCCTACAATTTAACAACAATGCCGATTGAGGAGCGCCACACAGCAGAAAACATTGCCTCCTGGGTGGAGGGTGTGGCAGAGAAGTTTGATTTTTCTCTTGAGAATGTCCTTGCCATTGTCCATGATAATGCACAGAATGCTGTGGCAGCTGTCCGAATCCTGGAAGAGAAACATGGAGTGGCATCCATTCGGTGTGCTGGGCATACACTTCAGTTAGTAGTCAACCATACCATGAAGGAACCTGTGATTGACAAGGCACTCTCAGCTACATGGTGCCTCGTGCAACATTTCAAGAAAAGTGAGCTGGCTAGCACCAAGCTCAAACAGAAACAAAAACAAATGGGCACAGCTGAGCATAAACTGATTCAGGATGTTGCTGTTAGATGGAACAGCACGTACTACATGATTAATCGTCTTTTAGAGCAGCGATGGCCAGTGGTTGCAACCAGAAATCACACAGCATGGAAAGCACTACCTAGATCTGAAAAAATGAACAGTGGACTCTATTGGAGGAACTGGAGGAGGTCCTCAAGCCTTTTGAGCAAGCCACTGTTTTTCTTAGTGGACAGTCTTATGTCACAGGCTCTGTTCTTTCCCCACTGCTAAAGGGTCTCCTGAAATCCACCCAAAAGAAATTATTATCAAGGTGGCAGAAGGAATCTGTGTTTAAAGAGGATGGGGAAAATGTGGCCCTCATTGCTGCTGCCCTTGACCCCCATTTTTGCAAGATTAAATTCTTGACCTCAGATGATGCTCTGAAACTACAACTACAAATACAGGCTCTTGCACTTGACATCAACAGGGAGCAGCAGCAATCACGGCTACAACAGGCAACTGCGGGGCAGGAGGCCTCAGCCAATCCTCCACCAAAGACGAGGTCCAGCTCTGTGTTGGACACTTTGTTAGAAGGCAGCAATGAGGAAGACATTGGCCTGGAGGATGATGGGGACAGTGACACAGTGAGGAATGAGGTACTTTTGTATTTTGGGGAAAACTATCCCAAGTGATCCCCACCCTGGCTGTTGTAACCAAATCATATTTATCTGTACCTGCAACCTCAACTCCATCTGAACGGCTCTTTTCAGCTGCTGGAAACGTCAACAAAAAAAGGACAAGCCTGACTGCTGAGCATGTTGAAATGCTAACGTTCCTCCACTCCAGTGACTGACTGCAGCCTGAATTACACACACACACACACACACACACACACACACACACACACACACTAACGGAGAGGGAAAAGGAGAGTGGTTTAAGTGTATTATTTTACAGTATGTTGTTATTATTTTCATGTGAAAAATTAAGTTGCACTTTTTTTTGCAGTAAGATAAGAGGAGAGCTGCCAAACACAAAAGAAAAGAGAGGGGGACATGTATGTATGTTCTGAGCATGGATGTTAAATGCTGCTATTGTTAGTTCTACTAAAGAAGGCCTACTCTTTTTCAGTTACTCTGCTTACAGTGAGAATTTTATTTTTGTATTCCCCCTGAATGACTTGAATGTCTTATTTTGTTGGAAACAAAATTACATAGTTCTATTTGTTGTATTTAATGAAATGTGTTTCTTAAGCACCAATGCTCTGCAGGGCAGTGTTATAGTGTGTAATGATATTGAAATGTTAAGGGGCATGAGATGTGTTCAGCCCCCTAAAGTTTACATAGGCTACTCTACTGTTGGTAGTTCTAAAAGGAAAAAAAAAAACATATTTTCTTCTTTCAATTGCTCTGAGAATTTAAATATTATTATTTAATTTATTTATTTTGTATTCCTCCTGTGTGACTTTTTATTTCATTTTATTTTGTTTAATGCTACACCTGGTATCAGAATGCATTATTTTGCACAACTTAATTACATGAATCTAATTTTGGAATTTGGAAAGATTTTGGGAGCAATACTCTGAATTGATGTCTTAAAGAAATGTTGAATAAATATTGAAATGTTATAAGAAGTCAATGTTTTTTGATATTCATAATGTGTAAATTGCCATAGTAATCAAATAATGGTAAAATAATTGATAATCGAAAAAATAATCGCTAGATTAATCGTTTAAAAAATAATCGTTTTGCCGAGCCCTAGTTTTTATGTTTTTCTTTCAAATTGCTGCTAACCTGCTTTATGTCTTTGCCCACTGCCAGACAGCCAACTCTGCATGGGTATGTATGCTGTATCTATTATAGCCAACTTTTTGTAGCATGGCTTGTGCATCAGTGTATTTGACCGTACATAATGACTATTGTGTTTTATCTATTTTTACTTTCCATTGCTACTCTGCATGTCTGAGTGTAATGCCAATCTGTGTGTTGGTGCTTGGTGTTTCTTGCACGTCTGTTTGTGCTATC